CATTTGAGATTTTGAGGTCATGTTTTCATGGCATGCCATATTGTTTAACGTTCTTATAGGTAATGCCACCGAGAGCTAAAAAATGGAGCAATTGACTTCAAAAATTAATGCAACTTTAAACAGAGCTGCAACCTTCGGATCTAATAATCCATCTTGCACGATTGTCTTGAAGCCTTCCTATGTCTTTGGACGTTCTTTGGTGAGCTTTGGTCAGTTTCATTTTTATACAATAAGATGCATAGTTTGGCATGTTTTGTTTAAAGCAGCAATATAACATCTTAGTGTTTCGATCTTCTAACATGTAAAAGAAAAAAAATTCAGAATATTCCCTCAATTTGCAAAGAGATATTTGAAGGAAGAGCATATGGATATGCTGCTTCAGTCCTTGGATGGGAGAACATGGCTTGTTAATTATAGTCTCGGCAAAATTTACACGGGATGGATGAAATTTACGTCAGATAATCAATTGAATGTGGGGGATGTGTGCCTTCTTGAGCTCAGAAATAGTAAAGACCTTTGTTTGAAAGTAAGAATCTTTGGACTTTCAGATGAAACAGATTCTTCTCTATCAACAGGTAATCCAAGTTGGCCTTTGGTTTTAAACTATATTTATACTGTTTGTGCAAAGTACTGATGGTTTTGATTTTCTTCCTTTGAAGCAGTTCAAGGAGACGGATTTAATTGCATACCCACTAAGAGAATCCCATATTTTAGAAGCAGAATTTTTATTCCTAATGAAGGTAAAGAATAATTGTAAACCCTTTTGTAACAACCTCAAAATGCATATCCATTGTTTTATAAAACATTATAAAGATTTTACATGAAGATATGTCATTAATTAAGGTAAGTCTTAGACATCAATGCCCTGTGACCTTTTGGCAATTAATATCTTATTATGCACTGGGAAAAGCTAAAGCTGAATTGTGTATAATGCAAATGTAAATATCTTACAATGGCCATGCCACAGATAAGAGGAAGGCAACTGAGAAACCTTCGCAATAGATTAGTTCACTTCCATTCACAAATGAAGCTATAAAAGAAGCTAGCAAGTTCACCTCCAAAAATCCCTTTTTCAAAGTCTGTATAAAGCCCGATCATAAGCGAGATCACAGGCCGGTAAAGCTTTTTTTTTCTCTCATCAAAGTCATTAGTATCTCCTTATGTCATGCAGCATCTTATTGTTGCGTCTCATAGTATATTATATGTTATGTTACTTGATTTCTCTTTATTTGTTTTAAATCTTTCGTCATTTTAAAATATAAAAAATTATTAATTTAAATTTTATAATATTAACTTATGAAGCATGGATTCTGACTACATTAAATATGACACGACACAAACACTTGGACACAGCTGATGTCCAAAATATAAAACATTAAGACACTGCTTATATATATATATAGAACATTAATTTGATGCAGGTTGTTCCAATCACCTTCATGAGGAATTACTTCAGTAACAAGAGGACTGTGACGTTACAGTTTGGTAATAAATTGTGGCACGTCGATTTGCTCTGTCATGTGGGCTCTCCAACAAAATTGTCAAAGAATTGGGCTGTGTTTGAAAAAGAAAGCAAATTGATTACTGGAGATGTTTGCATTTTAGAGCTCATTAACGAAGAAGATGCAGTGTTTTATGTTCACATTTTCAGGGGCCAACCTTAGGCAATCTATTTGGATCTCTCAGAATATATTCTGAATTTGAAAGCTTAGACTATGTTCGTTAGCGTTTAGTATTCTTAATTACTGTGTGCTGATGTCTAGCCAAATGTAGAGTCATGTTACCAATCTACATGAGTTGTGCGGAGGTAAGTATTTGAAGTTTAATTCTGGGTTGCGGCGGAAATAAAAACCTTATTTATTTAAATGAGTTACATTTAAAACTTGAGCTTGACTTTTTTAAAAAAAAAATAAAATTTGAATTTAACTTGTTAACTTACTTATAATTTGTTAATTTTCTCAACAAATTTTGAATAATTTTTTATTAATTTAATATTAATGAATATTTTATGTTAAAAAGTAAAGTAAAATAGTAATAAAATATAATTTTATCTATATAAAGATTATTTATGATTAAAATTAATTTTCTATAACAAAAATAACATTTTTAAAAAAAATTATGCTCACTTGTTTAAAATACAACTTTTAAAAATTTAAACTAAATAAATAATATACACACAATATAATGATTTAAAAATATGGATCTCAAGTAAATATAACAAATAAAATTAAAATTATCTAAGTGTGTGCGAATATATGAAAAAATATAGAAGTTATTTTTGAGCTATTAGTGCCAAAGTTTTAAAATAAAGCTTAAATTTTGTTTATTTAAATAATTGAATCTAATTTTAAGTTTAAACTTATTTTTTAATAAAATAAATAAGTTTATTCAAGTATTTAAAGAATAACAGTTCAGTTCAACTCATTTATACTCTTAAGAGCAAGCATCAAAATAAAATTTCAAAATTGGACAATCACATAGGCATACTAAATTATTCAATATTCAAGAATTTCAGTTGAGAAGCATTGTCAAACTATAATCATTCCCAAAGAACTGGTGCTTCTAGAGATAGAAATTTTTGCCAAAAAAATAAAATAAAAGAAGATAGAAATTCAACATTGAAAATGAAGCACACTGAAATTTCCTGTTGAGAAAATAACAAAGTTCAAAATTATCAGAAAATAAAGAACATTGACTAGAGCACATCATTCATTATCATAGTTTAGCATACCAGAGATGAAATCAATTTAGATTTGAGATACACATACACAAGCCCAAAAGAACAAAGAACTTAACTAATCAACCTGAAAAAGCAAAATACCATATCATCCTCTATGATAAAAGAAATGAGTGGAGAAGGGAGATTCTAAAATAATTTCATCCTTAGCACAAGAAGACCCCAATTAGCTAAAAAATTTACTCAACAATTAGTTTCTCTATACACATGATATAACTAACTATTCTATAGAAACATTTGAATTAACAAATTGAATTACCAATTTTGAGTCCAACTCAATCAAAACACCTTCTAGATAAGGTTCTTGGCTAATATGAGACTTGTCAATAGAGTCTAAAGTTTAGATAGAACAATGGCCTAATTTCTTGATGAAACTAGCTCTAAAAAAAATCCTTAATCATCTCTTATTAAACCATCACAAGAGTCCCTTCATTTGAATTCTACCAAGAAGTGTCTCTTGCTAACATGTCCTATGAATTTTTGAAGGATACAACACAAACTCAGAATTGATATAATTTACGTAACTATGCAATTTACAACAAAAAGAATTTAAATCAAGAAAATGTTTATTAAAAGTTCATTCATTTCTATTTAACTATAATAAACAGATAACAACAACAAAACAAATATCCAAGTTAGCAATTCATTTGAACATTTCTTATTCAAATTAAAAAAAATAACAATTTAGAAAGTTGAAGACTAGAAAATGAACAAACACCAATTATTTTCATAAGTTAAAGTATTCCATATATTTGAAGCAACCTCACAGTCTCTAAGCATGCATCACAAATTCATATCCATAATACTACATATATTACAACTATCAAAATTTATAATACCCCTATTCATCCTTTTATTATTAGTTAATAATTTAACGTGAATTAATTTCCGAAAAAAAAAAACTTAATTTTGGAGATCCTTTCAATTTTCAAATTAATTTAAATAAATAGGAATCAAAATTTTCTAAATTATTAAAAGCAAGAAATAAATAATGTACATGTTTTAAAGAGAAAAAAGTTAGTGAAAAAGGAAACCAGCTAGTCACGTTCACACATACAAAAATCTTAGGAGAAATTAATATATTAATCAAATCATAAAATTTTCTAAAGTATAAGAATTAAATTTTTCCCGGTCTCAATCATTATTTGAAACAAAATAGGTGATAGCAAAGTTCAAATTAGATTATAGAATTTTAGGATAAGATAAATAAACAAAATTTTGGACTTCAGAAATCTAAATGTTACTCCAAAATTTAATTTTTAGTCTAAGTACTAGAAATCTCTCACCAAACAATAGAACAAGAACTTGTACTTGAAATAATAAGGATATTATCAACGATAAATATAATAACGATAAATTTATATTTAGCTTACAAAACCTAATTTCGTCATATAAGCTAAATTAGTTTATGAATATCCCTGAAAATAAGGCTCTCGCAAAATTAAATGATACATTTTACTAGTATTGGTAGAATTTTAAATAAATTTTTTAGAAATTCCATTAATCTCGTCACATATTCCTAAGGGATGAGTTGAGACTATTATATAATTTGGAATACTCATTATGCTAGCTTGATCTAAAATAATCCTACCAACAACAATATAGAGTTAATTTTCCAATTTTGAAGTTTGTTCCTAATTCTATCTATGATGTCAAAATAAAGACTTCTTTTAGATTTCCTATTGAAAATTGGAGTGCCTAAATAGAGGTCTAGATTATCATACCAATGAATTCCTAATTACTAACTTAAATTTTTTTAATTAGAAAAGCTAGTACTAACATAAAAGAAAACTAGGTATTTATTCTTATTAATTTGTTGACTCAAGACTTCACAAAACAATTACGTAACAACTTAAATTACTTTAATAGGATCCTTAGATGCCTCGATCACAAGAATTAAATTATTTATATAAAAAATGTAAAAAATATTCATCCTATGTCTTCCAAAACAAAAAGGATTCAAGTCTCCAACAATTACCTTAATTGAATATGATGAGCAAATCTTTCTAGACAAATGAAAAAATATATAGACACAAAGGATTGTCTTGATGAATACTCCTAAAAGGAAGAAACTTTTCCAACAAGTCATCATTCTAATTAATTTGAAACGAAGAAATTAGGCAACCATAAACTAAATCAAACTAAAACTTACTAAATCTCACCTTATTTAAAGTCTCTCCAGTCAAATCTCATCTAATGTTATCATAAATTCTATTGAGGTCAAATTTTTAAATCATAAATTGTTTCTTACCTTTCATAATTTTCAAAAAATTAAACTAATTAATGGAGGATGACTACATGATCAATCCTTTGTCTCTTTGGCACAAAACTACATCAATTTTTATATATTAATTAGAGAAAAAAGATATTTTATTTTATTAACTAAATTTTTTGTTACAATTTTATAGATAATATTATATAAAGAGATAGGCCTATCCTGATTAATGTATTTTAGATGTAAACTTTTACCAATTAAAGTTAAGACAATATGGTTTACCTTTGCTATTTTAGAAAGATTAACAAATATTTCATTAATAAACTTTACATCAGGACTTGAAGATTTGTAGTTACTTATATTAAAAAGTGCATTTTTAATTTCTTGTAAAGAAACTATCTTATTAATAATATTCAAATCAACCTTACTAAAATTAATAAAAAAATTGAACAATCAAAGTTAATTTTATCATAAAATTAATTATAATACAATGATTTAAACATGACTTTTAAGATAGCTAAGATCATACGAGTCTTATAGATCTTCAAAATTTCTAAGAGCTTCTATTATATTTCCAACCTATGAATAATAATTGCTTGATGAAAAAAATTATTATTTGTCTCTCCTCGTTGAATCCATATAGACCTAGCTTGGTGAAACTAATAACCTTCCTTTTAGTCTAAAATACCTTCATATTCTTACCAAAGTTTAGAAAGAATATTAACTAAGAAAGGATTATTTTTGTCTTCAAATTCTTAAGAGTTCTGAGTTTGTAGTCATACAGTGTCATAAGATACATCATCCTTCGTGGGACCACAATTTACAATGCAATTTATATGAATAATAATGACTACTTCTACTTGTTCACGCATCAACAAATCATGGGATGGTTGATAGTTAGGATAGTTAAATATATTTTTCTTGCATGCAACAAAAGTTAGTTAGACTTCATTTCATGTCAGAAATTTGATATTATACTATTCTTATTGGTAATAACTTAACCAATCACTTTTTGCTCCACATTGCAATAACACATTCTAATTACTGTTCATAGATCAAATCTCAAGGCACATATACAACTCAAAAGGATAATCCCTTCATTTAGGTGAAAGATTAATCATCATTGAAAATTCATAACTCATTCATTACAAGTCCAATAAAAAAAATCATGAAACTAGTAAGGTTATATTCCTTTAACTGTTTATTTTCATACAATATTACAAACATAAATTAATCACAAATAGATAGTAGCATGAGTTTCAGTTTCTCCCAGCAAGTCACAAAACACCAATTTCTAGCACTAGTTTAGTATATAATTCATTTTAACTCCAAATTTAATGAAACTATGTGTTAATTACTCCTAAAATAGTCCTCTATCTAAATAAAATATCTTTGTAATTTTTTTCAAAATAGTCCTTGCAACTTATTGACATTACAGTATAGTCCCTGAACTTTATTATTTTACAAAAATGTCCTTTTAATTAAAGACTTATAAATCCCAACCATGCTACACATTTTTCTTAAGGTTCCTAGGACATTCTCAGACTTATACATCATCAAGTACAAACACTTGATCCTACCAATCACATAGTCAAATCCTTGTACTTTTAGAATCAAATTAAAAGCAAAAAGTATGCTACTTTCTTATTCTTTGGTCCAATCTTTTAAATTTATTTTATTTTTTCTTCAAATTTCTTATGCAAGTCTCAGTCAAGTCCATATAAGAAGGATAAATTTTCATAAATTTACGGCTGAGTGCTTCCTTAATCAATAAGAGAAAATCAAATACAAAAACAAAACTTCTATTACCATTTCAAATATTTTACGTTCTTTTTAAATGAGGCAACAATTACTTTTAATGGGTTAAAAGCAGAGTCTCTCTGATTAATAACAAAATGAGTCATGTACTTATTATGTCTCAACTCAATAATAATAACCATGAAACCATATTCACTAACAATAAAGTTATTTCAAATAAGCCTAATAACAATAATTAATTAGAATATGGACTAAACAACTTAATTTAATAATTTGACATCCAATTAATCTAAAATTAAATTAAATTAAATTTATAGCAAAAATTGATTTATGCCAATCTACAAACATACGTATCCAACATTATATTGAAGTAATCACCCGGTACATATTAAATTTAATCCTCACTAATGACATAAAAAGTGGCAACTTATCCCAATCTTCACTTTCTTAATGAACTTAATAATTTTTAAGTATTTCATGATTTTTTTATAATTTTTTTCTCTCAAATATTATTATTTGAATTTATTCATCATAATTTAAAATGTAAATTTTTATGCATTAAATTAATATATAACTAGACTTGTCTTGATTCAAATAATTAGTTACTTAATTTTGTCCTCAATTCAAAGAGTATTATTTCTTTAATTCATTTTTATCTCCTAAAATATAAAATCTTAACTAATCATTATTTATATATATATATATATATATATATATATATAAATATATATATATATATATATATATATATGATTAATGAAAGATGAATATGAGTAAGTCTTAATAATTTATATTACTTAATAATTTAATTAGAAGAATGTTTTAGATAATAAATTTTAATTAAATAAAAACAATTATATAATTGATTAATTTTATAAATTATATTTAATATTTTAATATATTGATGGTTTATAAAACTTAAAGTAACATTGGTATATATTAGTATTATAAAATGTTGCGTTAATAAAATAACTTTAATTTAAATTAGTTGATTGATTAGTAAGTTAGTAATTAGAGAAGGAATATATCTTGATTAATTATTAAGATAATTATCTAATTAATTAAAAATAAGATATAATAAAATACTATTGCATAAAGTCTAGGTAAAGTAAATATATGTAAGTTTTATCAATTTATAATATATAACTATAAAAAAATTATACTTTAGTACTATAAATTGATATACTTATATTATTATTTATTCTTTTATTATAAAAATTTAATATTCATGAAATAAAAGAAAGTAAATCATAAACATAAAATTAAATCACGTTAATATTCTACAAATATATGTAACATCCTTAATTTATTTAATTTATGTGATAATCTACAACAAAAGAAGAAAGTAAAAATGAATATCTTTATACTTATAGTATACAAATTTGAAAGAAAATTTAAAATTTTTATTTTTCACCAGTCAATCCTTAAAATTTAATAATTATTTAAAATGATAAAATTTTAAACATAATTAAACATTTATCGTCATAATATAACTTACTAAATAAAATTTGAACACCATTAAACAATTGTTTTATTTGTATTACTAAAATATATAAATAAAATATTTGCAAATCATAGTCAATACACATTAGAACTTTAAATAAAATAATTACATAAAAGAAGAAAAATCAAAGTACATTAGATTTTAACAAGTAGATCACTCCCACACCAAAACTCAGCGAAAATGATCCTTTTCCTATGACTTACTTCTCTTGTCTCTATTCTCCTTTTGTCCACTAAAAATATTCCTTCTATATATGCCCTGTTTTGTGATATCAATAATACTTTACATTCTTGTATCTGAATTTACTTCTGCTTTAATATCTACCACCTTTAGATACTCTTTTTTGACTTCTCTTTTTATTTTTAGTGACAAGCACCTTAACTTGAGATGAAAAATCTTATGTCTTCGTTATTATGAAGAACACTATTATTTACCATTTGTAAAGAGACAACACCATTAGGGGCAGAGTTTGTAATAGAGACCTTAAGTGTCTCCTAAGAGTGAGGTAGAGAATTCAACTAACTTCTCAAAATCTCATCAATAAATTTGATGTCCATTCCTAAAATTTGATCAAGGAGCTGTTGAAATTCGTTCAAGTGATATGAAATGGAAGTTTTTTTTCTTATACTTCAAACTCACAATGGAACTTAGCAAATACAACTTGTTCCAAGACTTTGAGGCATATAAAGATTCAATCTTCTCCTTCAAAGTCCTGTCTTGTTACTTACTCGCAATGTGGTTATAAACATTATCATCCACAAAATGCTAAATGAAACCACACATTTGTTAATACTTAAAGTCTCATTCTTCATTAGACATAGAATCTAGCTTCTGAGTAGCACATATCAGAAGATGCATTTTCTTTACAAGTAGCAAGTCTTTCATTTTCTTCTTTCACAAGTGATAATTAGTGTCATTCAAACTAACCATTCTATTTGTATTCACCTCTATCATTCATACAAGTCTGCCTTTAAGCCAAAAATCTCTTATGCAACTCAAATAGGGGATACCAACACAAATGTAATAATGAATAACGTAGGAGAATCAAATCTCCCAACTTGCAAGAATCTATGAGGAGTAACAACAAGTGTTGTAACAACTAAAAAGAATAAAATAGAAAGTAGGTATCAAATTTGTTTAACATAGAAAACTCCCTCAATGTGAGAGGTAAAAATCATGAGTTGTCTAGATAAAAGAAATAACTCCACTATGATCAAATAAGGATAGAAGAGAGTCACAAATAAGTGCGCAAACTATGCTTACAATCAGATAATCAACTCCAATAACAAAACTTACAAAATTTTGAATCAAGAAAATAAAAATACCCAACAAATAGAGCTATTACATGAACATTATTAATTATATCACAAGCCTTTTCAAAACAAAGAATCAAGCCTCGTGAAATTGTTGTCAAAGTTTTAGCCTGATCTAATGCTGAATGACTTTGCAAACACAAATTTACCAAAATTGCTTTGAGTTTATGCAAGAATAACTTTCTTTCTTCTTTTGTCATAAAAGTGGTTGTTCTTTTACTCTAATGACCTTTCACTACTCGACTCTTGAGCCCCTAGGGCATAGAATGTGAGTATGACCTCTCTCTCAATAACACACAAACAACCCTAAAGACTTATATCTACTTGTATAAGTAAGATAAAGTGAGTTGCTCATTTTGGACCTTTTATTAAATAGGATGGTAGTCTAGTACCCAACATCATTTGGGGAAGAGTTGTGAAATAGCTATGGCAAGTTTAGTTTAAAATAATGCAAAAGAATTTTCATGGGATCACAATGGCATAAATCACAATATTTATGTTGTAGCAGATTCAAGAAGCTAAGTATTCATCATTCGATACCAAGAAAAATTTTTGGTTTCCCAAATTGGTTGAAGAAACACAACACATGAAAAAAGGAATGAATTTAGGAGTGAATGAATAAACAACATTGCCTCATTTCATAGTAAAGTAAAAGGCTAGAAGCATAAGTTTATAGGTCATTGAAGGTGAGACAATTGTTGAAGTGTATTAGCAATTGTAGAAGGGTGCATTTTGTAAACTTAAGGGTGAGAAAATAAAAAAAAATAATTAACCATGTTAACTTAATTTTATTTCTTACCTATATATTAAACTGTCCTTTTCCTTTTTTTATATATGATTTGTCTACCTATTTATTCGATTTTTCAGTGTATAATCCTAATTTTTAAATATAATATCATTAAATTAAAAGAAATTGCACCTATCCTCAGCGTATACAAAATTAAAAAAGGAAAGGCGCTAGAAAAATCCCTTTGATGGCAAAGAACTTGGAGATCAACCGCCACAAAGAAAACTAGAGTAGCATGATTTGTTTGTTAAAACAATGAATAGGATTTGACAATAAGTTTCTTACGAACCTTCACTGTAAAGTGTTATTTTGTACTGTGACCTCTTCTAAATTTTATTTGGTATATATGCATAATTAAGTGAGTGAACAAAATTGTAATTATAGAGCCCCTTTTTTGTGTTAATATTATATGAATGATCCTGTAATGTCTCTCTTAACATGCATATACATAATGAACAAAAAGAAAATAGACATACATATACGTATACTGTTATCAAGAATGTATATAATCGAATGGACAAATAATCCAAACCAAAGTTTTCTTTCGTCCACTATTTTTGAGTTGTTTCTTCTCTACCTAATTGGATGAGGAATTAATATACCAACCATTACATTTCATAACTTGTCTTTGCTTTTTATATATATATAAAGCTAATAATTACACACTTTTTCATATACTTTTTACTATAGTGACTAAAATTCAATAAAAATTTAAAAAAATATAAAAAAGACATTAATTTAAAAGTAAGAAAAAGTGAAATTTATATGATTATTATGTCATTCAAGATCCACATAACTTCTCAATATGCTACGCCTTAAACTTTATAAACTAGCAATGAATTGAGAAATACAAAATCTCTAACTACTTATATTTACAATAAAAAGAATGTTGGGTCAAACAAAATTCTAAAAGAAGAAATGTTTAAACAAATAATTTTTTCAATAAAAATACTTTGAAACATATTGTTGCTAGTCTTCCATCCAACCAGTAAAATAAAATATTTACAAAAAAGAAATTAACATGATTCAGTACTTTCCTTTCATTTACATGCACATTAAATATATTTTTCAATGTAATTATAATTAAATTCATTCAGAATCTCATTTCCATAAATCAGAAACAAAATTAAGCACAATTTTCACCGGTATTATTTCCATTTGAAATCTAACAAAACATACATGTAAACAACAAAACAAATGTCATCCTTGAAATATAAATAGTTGTCAACAAGATCAAGCTCGTGACATCAATGCATACTCCAAAAGCTTTTGATTGCGCTCAAATTCAACCATGTCTTCTTCATCCAAATTAACCCATGCCTCTATTCCTTCCCCACATTTGGTGGCCAACAAAGTCACATTATTTTTCACAGGCATGCCAACAGTACTCACCCAAGTTGGAATTCCCCATCCAAAATTAGCTTCATATAATGGAAATCTTGTCCAGCTAGTGAAGTCACACCATTGAACACCCTCTAGATGTGTAGGCATCACTTGCTTCATGGACTCCACAACCACATCAAACCCACCATCACCTTTGATTTTACTCACATAATCCCCATCAAATCTCATTATTGCTTTCCTAACCATCATTGCCAAATCCTTCAACTCAACACTAACACTTCCTCTCACTTGGTGTTCAATCAAAGGAGTAACGGCCAGCTGAACAATATTTCCTATGTTACGCTCCGGCAATGTTGGCACAACACGAGTGCGAATGTTCACAACATGTGTTACCAAGGACCTTATAATTACATACTCTTGAGCCCTTGATCTTGCAATTGTTGCTTCCATCATTGATTTCCAAATGAGAGCCGTCACAGCTTCTACCTTAGTAGGATTGTAGCCACCCATTTCGGATTTTAGCCTAAACATGCTTGTTCCATCAAACACTAACCTTAAGGTTGTGAGTTCTTTGTTGTCAACACGACCAGATAGTGGACTAGAAAATTCCATGTCTCTTGTTGGAAACAACAAACTTGCTTCCATATAAGGTTTGATGATTGTGTTATCATTTACCTTATTTGCCATTTCAACCCAAGCATTGAGGAATGAGGCTGTTGCTATACCATCAGCAACCTTGTGGAGTAAGCACACTCCCAGTACTATACCACCACAACTTAGTTCACTAACTTGAATTGCCATCATTGCCGATTCCTCATCATTACCATTGTTTACTCTACTTCCAAATGGATCTAGTGGAAGTAATTTTTTCAACAGGTTGACCTTTGGATGTTCTAGAATGTTGGTGAGGCTACAAGAGATTTTAGACTCAATGAAAAGCACGCCTTCATCATTACAATCAACATAGGAATTTTCTTTGATTCTTCCACAAAATGGGTAGTAGAAAGTTAAGAGATTTGATAAGGAATCCTTTAGTTTGTCACACAAGGTTGTAAACTTGCCATAACCACTCACATCAGATTTAGAATAGAAAAGGAGAAATGGAACATACTGATTCGGTGCCAATTGATCAAGAAAGGAAAGTTTGAAGTGTTTGAGATGACTAGGTGTTGTAGAGGATGGCTTCACTCTTTGAGTTGACATAATCTTACATTTAGCTTCCATTTTACTTTTGTGTATACAATTTCAGCTGTGGTGAGAAAGCCACAAACAACAATCACTTTATATTCCTTGCCTTGAAACAATTTGCTAATATTATTAAATACATATAAGAAACTATTTAATATAGAAATAATTTTTAGAAGGAATAAAATTATAATTATAAATAATTTTTTTATTACAAATATTATATTTATCATATGAAGAAACTAATAATATCACTAAATTTATATAAAATGCATTCAAACATGTAACAAATTATTATTAATGATATCCTAAAATGCTTAGGTTAAAATCATTAATAAAAAAGTACCGTTGAAGTATTTTGTAAGATTATTATTTATATATTCTACATAAAGTAATTTCACTTTATAGTGATTCTTAGACACTATCTATGCAAAGGTTTTTGAATTATATTTTTTGTATTTAATATGATATAGTTGATATTATTTTTTATATTTTAAAATATATTAATTGTTTTACTTATTTTTAGTATTAAGAATTAATTTATTAAAACGTTTGCGTTTTATGCTTTCGATAAAAGTGGTTAGTGAATGAGAGATAGATGTGATTATTTTTTAATATTTTAAGATATTAGTATTCAATTATTTTATTTGTTTATTTTTATTTTATGGTTTTATCTTTTTTTATAATGAATATTAAATAAGAGGACGGTAGAATGGGACGTCGGTGGAATCAGTTATAATGAAATTGAAAATTACACGTGACCGTTAAACTCCATGAAATTGGATCAATTTATGATTATGATTACTCTTAAGTATTTATTAATAATTTTTTAAAAATATTATTTTTATAACTATATTAATAATGTAAGTATTTTGCATAAAAAAATTCTTAAATAAAAAAACATAATATATATATATATATATAAGATACTCTAATTGATATTTTAAAATATTATTAATTATTTTCATGTAATAGTAATTATTAAACGCGTGAGAATGAGGGTATTAGTGATGCTGCATGAGAAAATTTTTAATTTCATTTAATTTATGATTTTAAAAAATTGATCTTTGTATTTTACATAATATTTTTTTAATCAGTACAATATTATAAGTAATAAAGAATTGTATATAATATTTTTTATTAAAAATTATATAATTTAATGTATTTATACTATTAAATACTAAAAATATTTAAAAAATTATAATAAAATTTAATGCATTAATATTATTAAATATTTTATCTTTTAATAAAAATTATTTATTCATTTTATATAAATTAAAAAATAATAATATAATTATATATATTAAATTTGGTGTTCTTTAACTGCATGAGATAACGTGTGTGTCTCTTTTATTATTTGCATACTGATAATTTTTAACGATGTGTGAAAGGATACATAATAAAAATTTGTATATGATAATTTTTTTATGAAAATCACTTGATTCAACGCATTAAAAATTACACAATAATATTAAATGTTATATTTTTAATAAAAAATTAATATTTATTAATTTCTTATCATGTATCTTTAGGTATATTGTATAAAAGTTTTAATTTATGTAGTGTTAAAAATTAAGTTATTTAAATTGAAACGTTTTATTATTTTATGATGGAGTTATTTTTTTTTATTTTATCTAGATCAAATGTATCTAGAAGTTTTCGAGTCAGATAAAATCATAATAAATTATAGGTTGGAGTTATTTTTGACTTTTTGACTGTGTGACATAACATTTAATGGTCATTTAAATGAAATTGATAATGGCATTGAATGAAAGGTTGGTGACATAAATTATAAGTTGGAGTTATTTTTGACTCTTTGACTGAGTGACATAACATTTAATGGTCATTTAATTTGATTTTTTATTTGCTATTTTTATTTAATATATTTATATATGTTTAATTTGTAACTCCTTAACAGCAAAAGCATAAAATAAGACGTGACGTTTTTTAATATTTAATATAATATAGCTGATTTTTTATATTTTAAAATGTTATTAAATATTTCATTTATTTAATGCTAAAATTTGATTCTCTAATTTTTTTTGTAATTTACCTTTTGCATAATAGTAATTATTAAATGGGAAGTTATAAATATTTTAAGTTGAACAATTTAATTAATAAAGTTTAATTTCACTAAAACATATTTTAAAATATTATTTGTTAAATTTAACATTATCGTTTAATTTAACTCAATCTATGATCATTTTCCCTTTTTATTAAACTTAGTCATAGTTATCAAAATTAAAATGGACCATCTAATTCAATCTGTTTCACCGAGAAACTGAGAACAGGTAAGTTAAAATCTTAGATAAAGCTAAGAAATTAGTGGAAAGAAAAATTAGTTAAAAGTTAATTAAAATTGAACAAATTGAACCACCTAATTCATAAGGACTTCCTTTTTATTTTATTCTAAGATTTTAATAAAAAAAAAAAGTCATGCATAATATTTATATATTAATTTTTATTATTTAATTATTTATTATAATTTTTATCATATATAAGATCATTACATGTTGATTTAAAATTTTAATTAAATTCTTTTAGATTTTAGATTATTTTATTATTTAATATATATTTAACATTATTTTTACTAATTCAACCATAATTAAAATAATAAATCATTTAAATTTTTTAATACTTTATATATATATATATATATATATATACTATTGGTTTCATCACAATTATCAAATTGATGATTGGTTTAATTACAAAATATTGATATTTTTAAGAAAGTAAAAAGAAAGAAAGAAAGAAAAAATATATAAAAAATTGAATATAAAAATATAATTATTACAAAAACAAGCACATGCCTTTGATTTCATGTTTCTAATAAATTTACAGCAAAATCAAATTAATTTGAAATTTGCTAGTTTACTGTCTCATTGTCATAAGAAAAATGACTACATTTAAAAAAATATTTTTTTTAACATGTACATTATATCTAATAAGTTACATGTGATAAAAATTTATTAAAAATTATCATAATTAATATATCTAATTTTATAATTTTTAATAAAAATTTGTTGTATATAGTTTCTTATCCAATGTAATGTTGTATAAGCTAAAAAAACCATTAAAAATATTATTCAGGTCACATTGAAGATTGAACCAAGCTGCATTTATAGAAAGAAAAATGAATAATTGAAAAAGGTGCATTGCATTGCCTCAATGTGATGGAAGAGAACTTAGGAGGACTTGCTCATTTTTTTTTTCACACTAATTAATAATTAAATGTTGTTACACTACGTCAAAAATAAGCTTTTGAAGCGCTAACTTAGATAGCAGTTAGTAAAAACTGCTTTGTAACAATATATTTAGAGAGCGGTTAACGTTAAACTGCTCTCAGATCTATATTTTTAAGAGCGGTTATCTGTTAACCATTCTCTAAAATATACTTTAGAGAGCAAGTTAGTGTTGAACCGCTCTCAGATCTATACTTCTGAGAGCGGTTCTCTATTAACCGCTCTCTAAAGTCATATATTAGAGAGCAGTTAATAAATAATCGCTCTCTAAAGTTGTTCTTGGAGAACGGTTAATAAAGAACCGCTCTTTAAAGTCTTTAACTTTTATAAATGAAACACGCTCATGCTCAACTTATGAATCTCTTTGTCTTCCTAACAAAGTTGGTCTCTTTTACTTCTGTAAGTTCTTTTCATCTTTTATGTTTTTATAGTTCTCTTTGTCTTCCTAATTTGTTCTCTTTCACGTTTATAGGTTCTCTTCATCTTCTATGTCTCCACAGTTCTTCGTTCACATTTGTAGGTACCTTTTTCACAGTTCTTTCCATTTTTTCTTTTTCTCTTTATTAATGCTAAATCATTCATTCTCTCTTTCTTTTATTTTCTCTTTGTTAACGGTGAATTATCTTATTAATTTGTTCTCTTTTTCTCTGTTTATTGTTTGATTTTTGCAAATATGGCTGTTTGATTAACATAGCGTATGAACTCAAGATTTAATTTTGATTTGTGATAAAAATGAAGAAATTTTGATTGTCAGGCTTGTAAATTAAAATTTAAACGTAACAATAAATTAATTTTAGTTTGCTACAGAAAACTTGTAAATAAATAAATTTCAAATTTCAGATTCACGGTTTAAATTCATATTTTGGAGAGCGGTTCTGCGTGGAACCGCTATCTAATCTTACACACATACTTTAGAGAGCGGTTTCACGCAGAACCGCTCTCCAATCTTAACATTTGAGAGTGGTTATTTAACCGCTCTCCCAAATGTAATATATTGGATAGCACGAGATTTTAGAGCAGTTCTAAACGCTCTCTAATTTAAAACGGAACCGCTCTCTTATCTCATTTTCAGCGTAGTGTTAGCTGACTGGTTTCATTGTGAATTTAAAGTAAATTTAAAATCAATCTCATAATTTCTTAAATTATAACGCTTTTAGGAGTTTTGTCAAACCAAATAACTTTTAAAAATTAGTTTTCTTTTTCATGTCATGTCAAATAAGTTTTTACTATTTAATTCAAATTTTAAAACTTTTATAAGTTTGATTTTAATTTATAAAATGTATCTATTTATTTAATAAAATAATTAAAAGTTACTAATAAGTTTAATACTTACTCTTTTTAAATTATAAAGTTTATTAAATTTAAAAATAATTATATAATACATTTTAACTATTTATTTTAAAATTTATTTAATAGTTCTCGTGCAGTGTTTGAAAAATTTACTGGTTTAAAGAAAGAAAGTTATTTGGAAACCAAAAGAAAAGGTATTTGAAAATAAAATTAATCATAACATAAATAAAAGGAAATGTATTTAGAAAAATAATTCTTAAGAATGTTAATGAAAATTTAGATTTACTAGGAGTGTTTGTAATTTAGTTTAGACCAATTTAAGAATAAATGCTCATATACTTGGAAATCGTTCATTTGATCATACGTATACGCGGAAGGAAAGGATCTTATCATATTGGAATTAAAATTTGAACAAATTCAAACTAAACTATAGAATTCCAAAAAAAAATTAAAATTAAACTACATAATATATTTAGAAAAAATATTTTTATATTAGTGTAAGTT